GGAAGCCGAAAAACCTCCGACTTATCGAGCTCTCTGCGACTCGTCTACGCCAAGTTGGTCCCATGGGTGCAACTCCAGCACTCATGAACCTCCTGGCCCAGACTAGCAAGTGGGCGTCACGAGGGTGCAAGTCAAATGAAGCCACACCGGTTTGGCAATCAGCCAAAGCCAGCGCTAAGCGGCCGGCCAGACGACATGGACAGCGGTATGCTGTCTTGCGTGCCTGGCTGACCCGGCCGGCTCCGACCGTCAGTCCAGCCCGGCCGGGCCGTTGCTTGGGGGAGACCGGCAGGCGGCAGCGCGTGCCAACACGGCCGGTGACCTACGATATGGGTCGTATCGGCCGCCTGGGGCCGGCAGCACGCCCGTGAGGCCTTGCCAAAAAATCGACTTGCGCGATCCCGCTGCTAGTTCTCCGTTCGATAAACAGATGTCGCTAGTATAGAGCCCAAACGCCGCCGCCGACTCTTCGACGTCCTGTCGTCAGGCGTTGGTTGGGCGCTTGCGGTGACCAGCCCCCTGCGGCCTTCGACGTCGCCGACACTGTATGCCCAGCGTCAACGCTGGGCAGGCCGTGCTGGGGCCGCATGTGTCAGTGCGGGCAGCGGTCCTGCGCTGTCCTGGACGTCGCCGGGCTGGCACGACGTGGCCGAAGGGCAGGCGGCGCGGCTGGACCACCCGACCCGGCCGGCCGCCTATCACGCCGGCGAGGCGTCGATCGACCCGTATCGACCACTTGCCACTGCGGCATTCGCCGACCGACCGACCGGACTCCAAGCAGGGCTGCACCCGAGACCGTTCACCGGCGACCGTCAGAACGGCGCCGCGCCGCCTCTGACGGCCGCCAGGCACGGCCGGGTCGGGCGCCTCCCGGGCGTCTCTCGGTGACCCGGAGTGCTCTGATGTAGCGTGTTTAGATCAGTGCTTTTATCCAATTCATCGTCTTGCTTCACCGTGTTTTCGGATAGCTATACTAGTGACAATAGTAACTGATAGCCAGCTTGCAACATGCGTTCTACGGGAAACGCCACCGAAGTACTGAATACAAATGCACTTGGCGTGCATTTCGTCTTATCCTGGGACTGAGACGATTTTTGAAGTCGTGAATCTATACGATATTGCAGGCTTCTGTCCAGTGGAATCTGAATCGGGACGCCCGCTTGGATGATTGGATTGACCCACAAATTCTCGATAAATTCACAGATTGGACTGATGGGAATGAGGAATGTTCACGAACACTCCCGGCAGCCTCTGGCAAGTGCCCCCCCCCCCCCGCATCCCTGCATCGATGGAATACAACACAGCATCTCACGTGCCCTGGTTTCCCGGGCACCTCGGCGGCTGTTTCGGACCGTGGGGCAGTTCGCGCTGGATGTTTACGGCAAGGATTTCTGAACGTCTCATGGCCCCAATTTCTCGGGGCTTTGACGATCTTGAGATGTTCTGTCTTCTTGAGGCTCCCCACGGTCTGCTCGAGTCTGTCTGGCTTCATCTTGTATTTACGACCCATACCAGGAATTTGGCGGTGGGATTCGGATCTTAGAAAGTTTTGGACGGACTGGACTCTTCTGCTCTGACCATGCATAATGGCGTAAAACAGGAATGAACGGCCAGTAGCATATAGCCCTCGTCCTATGATTTTTCTGGGAGAACTCCGGAACAATTTTATTACGGCAGTAAAAAAAACTTGTATGCATCATAGGTAACTTTAAAGCTGCTCCCCCGACAGCCCACGACCAATAACCTGTTAACCGAGGCCATATTGGCGTCATTCTGCTCAACAGCGACAAAAAAACGCCCATTTCTCAAAATGATTGCAGTACGGTACCATCGTTCTCATGACAATTGCAGGTTCAGGTCATGAAAGGTCAGTCTAGGCAAAATGTTGACCTTTGTGGCCAGTTTGACTATTTTAAGGTCATGTGATTGAAAAGTTGATGACACAGTCCCTGACCTCTGAGTAACTAGCTCTTTCTGTGGGGAATGCTTTAATCTTTGTAAGTTAAAATTTGGCCGGCAATTTTTGGGTGATACGGAATTCCCCGTCCTTCGAGCCCACGTTTGACCTTGAAGGAGGACCTTGAGAGGTCAGGACTTTTTGGCGGGCGCTAGCTCTTTCTGTGGCAAATGTTCTGATCTTTGCAAGTTAAAATTCGGCCGGTAATTTTTGGCTGATATTAAGTTTCCTGTCCTTTGAGCCCGCGTTTGACCTCGAAGGGTGACCTTCAGAGGTCAGGAAGGACATTTTGACGGACACTTGCTCATTCTCTGGCGATTATTTTGATGCCTTTAAGTTCAACATCAACCGGTAATTTTTGGATGAAATGGAGTTCCCCGTCCTTTGAGCCCACGTTTGATCTTGAAGGGTGACCTTGAGAGGTGAGGACATTTTGACGTAGGCCAGCTCTTTCTGTGGCGAATGTTTTGATCTTTGTAAGTCAAGAATCGGCCGGCAATTTTGGGGTGATATGAGGTTTCCCGTCTTTGAGCCCGCGTTTGACCTTGAAGGGTGACCTTCAGAGGTCAGGACTTTTGGACCGATGCTAGCTCGTTCTCTGGTGATCATTTTGATGTCTTTAAGTTTAAAATCAGCCGGTAATTTTTGGGTGATATGGAGTTCCCCGTCGGTTGAGCCCACGTTTTACCTTGAAGGGTGACCTTGAGAGGGCAGGACGCCAGCAGCTCTTTCCGTGGTAAATGTTCTGATCTTTGTAAGTTAAAAATCGGCCGGTAATTTTTGGTTGATATGGAGCTTCCCGCCCTTTGAGGCCGCGTTTGACCTTGAAAGGTGACCTTGAGAGGTCAGGACTTTTTGACGGACGCCTAGCTCTTTCTGTGGTGGATGTTTTGATCTTTGTAAAATACAATTCGGCCGATAATTTTGGGTGATATGGAGTTCCCCGTCCTTTGAGCCCGTGTTTGACTTTGAAGGGTGACCTTGAGCGGTCAGGACTTTCGGATGGACGCTAGTTCTTTCTGTGTTGAATATTCTGATATTTGCAAGTTGATAATCGGGCGGTAATTTTTGGGTGAAATCGAGTTCCCCATCCTTTGACCCAGCTTTTGACTTTGAAGGTCACATGATATTGCAAAATAAGGGTCATTTTTGGTGTTTTCATGCCACGATTGACCTTGAAACTATTTTTCAGGGAAATCGAAACTCGTCGCTGAAAAATCGCTAATTAAATCGCTAGCTACACGAATATGTTTTTCGAAGCATGTTCTCTGCGGTAATGTGTATTGTTTAGTTATTAGTACTCATGGCTATGCTATGACATGTTTAGTTACTGATATGGCTATGTTATGCTATGTTATTATTGATATGTTATATAGTTATTAGTTATATAGTTATTATATAGTTATTGATATGGCTATGGGATATTGCTTCAATCTCAGAGTGGGATTATGCTACAATCATTTGCATTTATTTGACCTGATATGGCATATCACGGGTCACATGTGTCATTGTTTACATCTGATAGAGTTTTCCAAGAGCTGTTCAACGCCGTCTTTCGCATTGCCGCACATTTCGCTCTTGAGTCAACAGAAGGATCTGTTAAGTGTTACTTTGAACCCCTCGACCTGGTTTGGCCCCTACAACACCGTGTTAACCATTGTTCAAAGACACTTATCTGGCACAGTTTTAGAAAGAGCTTTCCGATGTCGTCTTCCGTGTGACTCTAGGCTGCTCACTTCCAAGATCTTGGGGAGCGTCACCCCTGAGCCCCCATCGTGGGGCGAGAGAAAAACAGTCGTAGCGCGAGGTCAGAGCGTGGGCGCGTCCTTTCCAATATGTTGATGGGTCCTTACCCTGTGAAACCCGCCCGTCCCGTAGAAAACACGTTGATGCGAATGTCATTCGAACACTGTTTATATCGTCGCTGTCTCACAGTCGATGCTGGCATATCGTGCCACGTGGGCAGCCCCCGGCCATCCGGGAGCCACCGGGTGCCACGCGGGCAGCCCCCGGCCATTCGAGAGTCACCGGGTGCCACGCGGGCAGCCCCCGGCCGTTCGAGAGCCACCGGGCGCCGCGTGGCAAGACAAAATATAACACCAACTCTCACGTATCGTGCGAAATGACACCCACAGCCCAATGGCAGACATTAGCGGTCGCGCGGTGTCATGCAGCACAACTACAACAGTAACACATTTGCCCCGCCCCACAGGGGATGGGGCCGCGCTCATCACAGTGAACGTCGGCGCCCTTGCTTGAGTTCTCGAGACGCAATGGCGCAGTCCGACCGAGTGCATATAGACCTTTTTCATCGAAATTAGCGATACAAGCAAGACGCTGCCACAGATTTTTGTAAAGCACACTAAACCCGGCAAGAATGTTCACGAAGAGAAGTCACGACACATTTCTACGCACGCGCACTCGTTGGAAGCCAAGCATGCTGTGAGCGGTAACGGGTCATACAATCAAAAGCTTAACATCCCAGGCGCTTGAATACGACAGGCCATCAAAAATCTATTAGTGCTCGAACCTAATGCGTCGTCAGTTTCGGCCTCCACGGTTCGCACGCTGGTGGAGTCCGCGGCAGGCCTTCTCGGTGGCATCTACATGGCTCTACTACGCGGTGCTGCGCTTACATTCGTGTTTCTGCACTTATAAGCAAGGATAGCAAGGCAATCATTTCTAACCGGGAGATGAAGAGTACCCGGGCTTCAGCTTCAAGTTAGCGCATACACATGTTCAGTTCAGCCGTGCCACGTAAACAAAGTGGTAATATTTTGTAGATGACAGATATATATATATATATATATATATATATATATATATATATATATATATATATATATATATATATATATATATATATATATATGTGTGTGTGTGTGTGTGTGTGTGTGTGTGTGTGTGTGTGTGTGTGTGTGTGTGTGTGTGTGTGTGTGTGTGTGTGTGTGTGTGTGTGTGTGTGTGTGTGTGTGTGTGTGTGTGTGTGTGTGTGTGTGTGTGTGTGTGTGTGTGTGTGTGTGTGTGTGTGTGTGTGTGTGTGTTTAAAAACTAGAACATGTGATAAAATATGTATATATAAGACTATATATATACATATATTTATAAAGACTAAATATACGTAAAGCATGTATCGCAAGGTCTTTGATACCGGACTAGAAAAGACAGGGCAGACGGCTATGACAGCTCTCTTCGACATTGACTGATATCGTATGAACCCTGTATCTTTGTCAGGAGACTGGACATCGCGGCCCGAAATCATTCTGGTGGTAAGTCCCACTGATCGTCTGACAGCAGCGGGCCGTCTCTTGCCCTTCGTCATCATCAGGGCTTTGACCTCTGACAGCAGTGGACTACCTCTTGCCCTTCGTCATCAGGGCCTTGACCCCTGACAGCAGTGAACTACCTCTTGCCCTCGTCGTCATCAGGGCTTTGACCCCCGACAGCAGCAGGCCACCTCTTGCCCCTCGTCGTCATCAGGGCTTTGACCCCTGACAGCAGCGGACTACCTCTTGCCCTTCGTCATCAGGGCTTTGACCCCTGACAGCAATGAACTACCTCTTGCCCTCGTTGTCATCAGGGCTTTGCCCCCTGACAGCAGCCGACCACCTCCTGCCCCTCGCCGCCATCAGAGCTTTGACCCCTGACAGCAGCCGACCACCTCCCGCCCCTCGTCGCCATCAGAGCTTTGCCCCTGACGGCCGCATCCAAGTTCTGACCACATCAGTACCCGTCTTAACATTCTGGGGTTCCCGAATCGCTGACTTTTACGACCCACACTATCTTGTAGTCTTAAAACACAAACTATATCAGGACCGTATCAGGGCCATTTTACACGCAGACACATGGGCATATCCCATTAGATCTCCCCCATTACATGGGCATCCCTCTTCACAACCTCGATGACATCTACCCTTCATTGGCCCTAACTGTGTTGAACGTGGGCTTGACCATCACGCGACCTCAACAATTTCCCAAAGCAATAGGGCCTACTGACCCAACGAGTCCCCCTGATCACCTGAGGATCTTTCCAGCTGTCTCGTCGCTAGTCGCTAGATATTTTACTACGGTGGCCGGTGGCGAAGAGCAGCCTGGCCGCATCTAAGACTGATCATTTCAGGTAATGTCATAGGATCCTATTAGAACAGTGTATCTGTTTTTTCTTAACAAAGAACCCATCAGGCTATGCACATCGCACAATCCGTTAACACTGCTAAGGGTGCCTCTCGAAACACGATGAGGCCTCTTAAGGTCGTCGCTGAAGTGACGGAAAACGTCCCCGAACATGACTCGAGGTCACTTATTGACCCTCAAAAACCCGTTTGGACGTCCAAAAGTCCCCCTAGACGGTAGATGCATCTTTCCCTGGTACTTTAAAGAGGGTTTTGTTATTTAAAACGATCATTTTTAGACAAAAAAGGATAGGTTTAGAGACGACGCTAAAATGTACGCTCGTTTCATCATTGTCAACCTCCCCCAGATAACGTTGTCCCATTGAACTCCTCTTAAACACAGTAGCGGCTTCAGCAGCTACACCTCTGCTTACTGGGAACACAGCGCCACTATTGAAGAGGCCTATAAGCGCTCACAGCTCGCGGTCCCCGTATGCATTCTCGCGTCGTTCGCAGTCGGACTCAGCGGCCCCCTGGGTCGGTTTCCTGTCGGCCGGTTTCAGAACGTCAGCTTCGTAATCCGACTCAGAGAGGGCAGTAAGGGCGGGCTGCTCGTTGACGGACGTGACGCGAGTGCAGTCTGACTGCAAAGTCGACTCGTCCCCCGGCGCCGCCATCTTGTTCAGTGAAAGCACATATTTCTGGAACGCACGTCACCATGTCTTACGGACCAGTGCGCCACACTTACACCGAACGCGTACTGAGACACAATGTCCAACGGTCGAAAACTTAGTGATGTCGGAAGATTGACAGTTTCCGCTAGGACCTGGACATCGATAATCCACTAACTCAGACATTTGCGGATACGTTGGGGCTGTTGCACTTGATGGGTTAATGTCAGTGATGCACCCAGGATTTCGGCCAGGGGATGGAACGGTCAAACGAGGGAGTTGGTCTCAGCGCTAAGCACTAAGTGTATCTTTTCACATCATTCATGGGCCTTCTTTGTTATTGATTTATCTATCCATCAAATCTGGTCATCCTTCGAAGAATAAGGCTATTAGTATTGGCCTAATTAGGCAAAATATTCTGTCTCGCTGCGCATCACCCGTACTGGTGGCCGTGTAGGCATGACCGATCATGTCACTGAACGGCTGGTACAGTGGCAGTTCACGCCCGACAGCTGGTATCATCGTGTATCACTGGTATCGGGCACATGGAGGCGTGCATACCTGTCTGATGACGACCTTATGTGCGGTGTGAACCTGATACAGGAAGCGATGCATACCTGGCCAAGGATGCCGGCGTGTAACATCTGGGTCTGGTACAAGTAGCAGTATCCAAATATCTGACTAACGTCGCCGCGTATCGGCCGGACTTTGTGCAGGCAGTGGTACGTGCCTGACTAACGTCGCCACGTACCGGCTGGACCTCGTGCAGGCAGCGTTACGTACATGACTAACGTGGTCGTGCATCGGCAGGACCTAGTACAGGCAGCGGTACGTACCTGACTAACATCGTCGTGTACCGGCCGGACCTGGTACAGGCAGCAGTACACACCTGACTGACGTGGCCGTGTACCGGCCGGACCTGGCACAGGCAGCAGTACACACCTGACTGACGTGGCCGTGTACCGGCCGGACCTGGCACAGGCAGCGGTACACACCTGACTGACGTGGCCGTGTACCGGCCGGACCTGGCACAGGCAGCGGTACACACCTGACTGACGTGGCCGTGTACCGGCCGGACCTGGTACAGGCAGCGGTACACACCTGACTGATGATGTCTCCGTGCGCGGCGCGGACCTGGTACAGGTATCGGTACTTGCGCTGGCGCAGCTCCTCCCTCGCATGCCTGGAGCGCAGCCGCTGCAGGCTGACCGCGCGCAGGGGCTGGTGGTGCCGCGCCACTGGAACGGAGCTCAGAGTGAGCACGCATAGCGTGCTGAAAGGGAAGAGTTCAGGAACGGAGCACACGGTCAGTGTGTTGGGGGGGGGGGGGGGGGGCAGTCCGACGGCTCAGACTGTGCTGAGAGCCTGCGGTCAGGAGGGGGGGGGGGAGGGGCAAAACACTGGAACAGGACCGCAAATCGGTCCGCAGTTACACACAAAGACTATGTGTTGCCATCTAAAGCGACAAAGTTAACGATAAGCGATCAGTCCCGCAAAAAGCTTGTCGCCCAGAGGTTGTTTGCGAACGGAATGAGTATCATGGCTTTAAGATTTCGGTGCGTCCTCGCGCGTAGAGGCTGCGTGGAAACCCGGCTGTTGGAACCCAGCGTGGAAATCCGGCTTCATGGAATGCTTAAGGTGAGGTGTTTGCGAGCATCTAATTATTATCTTAAGGACTATTCCAGCCATTCAGGGTTAGCAAACTGAGGAGGCTAAATATTCTGCTGGGTAACCAGCTTAAATTAAATGTTCCGAAAGGAAAACAGCTAGTTACCTGACCACTGACCTTCCATCCTATTTGATGTCACGTAAAACCCAGCGGACATATGAAGAACTCATTAGAACTGATTGGTCTCAGGTCCGGTGGTGCTGAGGTCCGTGTGCATGGGTGGGTCCGCGGGCGTTCCACTTACCCGCTTTGTGATGTGTGCCGCGACCAGTGATGCGGCCCTGCACAGCCAGGCCGACCAGCGTCATCAGGGGCCACAGGCTGAGCACCAGCCAGGAGAACCAGCAAGGCCGCTGGCTCTCCGCCAGCCGCACCCTGTCCAGCACCCACTGCGCCATCATCCACTGCTCGACGAAGAAGTCCATGGAGACGGCGATGACGGCAGCGCCGTGAACGCTCGTGCCGAACACTGTCAGGCTCTTCTGGAGGCGGAGGTTAGCCAGCGCGAACAGCAGGCCCCAGCCGAGCAGCACGGCCACAGAGATCCAGACGGTGCGCAGCCGGTGGAAGAAGCTGACCACCACGATGATGACGACACCGCAGTACAGACCCGTGTGGAAGCCGGTCATGAAGAGGCCCACGTACTGCACCAGCAGCGTGATGACGCCCAACAGGAGGCCGGCACCCAGTGAAACTCCTGCCGGAAAGGGCGGCCCGGTTACACTGGCCGGATGGCTGGCCAGGAACCCAGTGGGTGCAGTCCGGATGGCTAGGAACCCGGTGGGTGCAATCCGGATGGCTAGGAACTCGGTGGGCGCCGTCCGGATGACTAGGATCCCGGTAGGCGCAGTCCGGATGGCTAGCAACCTGGTGGGTGCCGTCCAGATGGTTAGGAACCCGTAGGGTGCAGTCCGGATGGCTAGGAATCTGGTGGGTGCAGTCCGGATGCAAAACGCTGGCGAGCGATCTGCCGCATTTCGGCGGAGAAAGTCAGATGCTCTGGGGACATCAGGGAAAGTGAAGAGGTACGGAACGATCTGGGGACCCAAAGACGCCCAGGGCCACACCGTCGTGAGTTAAGTATCAAGAAGTGACGACCGTTGGGTGCAATTTACGACGACAGGGACTGCTACTGTTCTGTCCGTTACCGCATGTCAATCATAGGTTCCAGACTTGAGATGTTGAAAGTTAAGGTTTGTTACACGCTTGGTTTTGTAGGTCATGGTCCGGTGCCTGGTAGGAAACACCCGATCGGCTGGGCACGGTATACGCGCAGGTTTTGCCAGAAGCCATACGTCATTGGTCATGGCAGACGAATAGCTTTGGAGAAAACACTCGGAGAAATGACCGATTCTTCTTTTAGTAATGGCATGTCACACGAAGCCGTTTGGTGAGACACACGTGATGGGGCTGGTGGTGGGTAGACCTCTTTCCGCACCCACACCCGGCCCCGACATCGACGATGACGTCCCAGAGAATTTGGGATACTACCAGCGGTTGCCGTATTGATAAGTTACTTCTTATTTTTTAAAGACATTATTGACAGAAACCATAGGCTTAGCGAAATAACATGAAATTAGTCAGGAGAGATCCAAGGCATTAAGATAAAAAAACACCAGCCTTATTATCTCTTGCTCTCTCGGATATCCAAAATCACTAAATTCAATGTATTTCGTCTGGAAGCTTGGGAAGGGACAGCTGCCACATTACATTCCCCGTTGTTGCGCATATGTATGGAGCTCATTGACGAAGCTTGTACTAATTATTGGCACCATGCTCGTGGATCCGTTGGAGACGGGAACCCCAAAGTCTTATGACCGAAACTAGTTCTGTTCGGCGTTGGAAGGCATCCGTGCGGTGTCGGGGCTTTGCCCGGCTCTGCCACGAGAGGGGATGCAGATTAGACCAACGGGCCTTGATTACCAAGGAGGGATCCCAGTCGGGTTTTCCAGCCTCAGGATGTCTCACTTTGAGGTTTAGGTCCTTTTTATGGCTCGGGAGGCTCATTTAAATGTCTTGATGGCGCAATTTGTTACACAAATAGCTATTTTGTTCAGTTAAAACGCTCTACGAGTACCATGCATTGCAAAATAGTGCTAGGGATTCGTCCCATGAAACCACGGCAGGCATCTGCGGTCCCAGCAGCGGCCGTGAGGTGTCCACGCAGCCTCCAATGTAGCATGACCTCCGCAGCTGCCATCGGTTGCGCCGCGAGGGCGCCTTTACTGTTTAAAACCGATGCTTAGGTAACAAAGCGGATCACCCGGGACATCAGAACGAACATCGCAAGCACGAAATGGCTCTAAATAAAAATACACAGGGTATTTTGTGACATTCCTGCAAGGGGATTGAACGCAAGTGCTCCCGAAAGGGGATAACATGTTGCAACAACTACACGTTTAGGTTTTGTGGTAACCTCCAAGCCTCGCTGAGCCTCTTCAAACAATTTAGGAAGATGGCAATGCAGATGGCAGTTGTGACGTCAGTGGGTCGCATGGAATAAATTCTGCCCTGGAAACTCCAGAAACGAGAAACGGACACAGTTTTAGCTTTTATGTTCAATTTTAACTTTGAAATAAACTTATCATTCTCTACCCTTTTAGTCGGAAACGTCCCACATTATTGTTCTCAATTTCGTGAAGTTCACTGTACGCCAGTGTACGACAATGTACGGCCAAATTACACTAATGTACTAAAGAAGTAATTTGGCATCTGGAATGAAAAAGCCGCGATTGCTTTCCCCAACTGATATTCTCTTCACGACCATGCATAGCCAGCCTAAAAATTCTCCATTCGAATGCGTTAAAAAGTTCGGGTGTGAAAAGCTTAGAACTGCCGTCTTCAGAATGAGGGCCGCACAAGATGGTGGATCTGCGGGAAAAAGATCTCATGAGAGGAGATAGAGAAACAGCATGTCGGTGAATCACAAAGTAATGAGTTTTCCTATCGCTGGATATAAGATTCTAACCACTGGCCGCGTCTCAGATGAGAGAAAAGCTGTTTCTTCGACGACTAGAAGAGAGATAGAGCTGTCCAGGTACATAGCTATCTGGCAGATCTACCACTATCACTCCAGCTAGCGCAGCCCGAAAAAGGACTGTTTGCTATGGACTCCAGCGAATGGAGGCTCTCGACTCAGTACATGACACGTACGTATTTCTTACCACTGCAATGGCAAGAAATAGGAGGCATGCCGGGCTCTGCCTGGATCAAGTAAATTCAAACTTAGCCGATCACAATCATTGATTGGATTCTTACAGGCTCTGAACCTCCTCGGGGTGCCAGAGTCTGTGCATGCAATTTCAACCCTGGGGCAGGATCAGTGGCGCGCCGCCAGCTGTCACGCGCGCACGGCCTCGGATTTCGCGGTTGAGTGAGAGCGTGGTGGGCTTACAACGCGGATGTGCTCAGTCCGCGCCACGGGGCGGACCAATGACAGCCGAGAGGAGGCGTGCTGGCAACTGAGCAGGCGAGGTCAGCCTGGCCCGTACGCGGCCATGCTGAGATTTTGACCGACTGACGGAGAAATGTCTGCTAGAAACGGGCCACACTAGGTCAACCTGATTGTGAGACATGGTATCTTGCACAGCGCGCAAAATCCTCTGCAGCACTGGCTGGCAAAAGGTCGCAAGGAAAATAATCCGATCGACTGGATCCGATTACTTAGAGTGGTGAGATATGGAAGCACACAGTCAGCTAAGTAAGCGTGATAATCACAAAGCCACCCACAAAAGCATTTAAAGTAACCGCCCCGATAGCCCAGTTGGTTAACCGCGCTAAAAGCCAGCTGGCGTAATAGGGCAGGACGGACAGAGCCGAGCACTGCGGCACGTCAAACTTTCACTGCAGAATTTTTCTGTTACCCTCGGATTTCACGAACGAATGGTGCGGGTCAAAGCACACACAATACACAGCACTTAGGATGAACTCTGCTAAAACAAATCCATCCACTCAAAATGTTTGGACTAAATCTGAAAAAATTCCGAGGCAGCAGGAAAGAGGCGAAACTGCGTGGAGATAACGAGATAAAATGGTTTGCAAGAGTGGCGGTGAACATGGTGTTTGTGTGTGGTTATAGTGTGTGTGGTGGTATATTTGATAACGAACGGCGAGGCCCTGACAGATGCACCGATCTTGAGATCCCTGGGAGTCCTCAGCTGCGCCACTGCTTCCTCGCATCATATGAGTAAACATGCCTTCTACTGTAATATGTGCGTGCAGCTTGATTTCTTCTCTATCCCTTTGAAGTGCGAGCCTCAGGAAATGACACCCATTTAACAGCCAGTATAAAACGCCTGCCGATGTAAACACGCATTAGTTACCTGCGTTCCCGAGAGGTGGCAGCACAGCTTGCTCCTCACAGATCAGGTACACCACCGCCGAGCCGAAGGTGAACCCAGTGAGGAACATGACAGCCTTGAAGCATCTGTACCCTAAAAAACGGTGCAAGGGTCAGCATGTGAGCCTGACAAGTGGTGTGGAAGAACCGCTCGAGCACCAGCACCCGTAACTGAGCCGGACGGTGTACGGGGCCCCTCCCAACCCCCTTGCAAAGCCCCAACAGCTCACTGGTCACCTTGCGTCGGCTTCCGCGACACGCCGGTTACTGCGATCTGGTGCAGTCGGCGAGACCTCACTGGGTCTGGTCACGTGACTCTCAGGTGACCCGGCGGCGCAAGGTTGCGGCCAGTGGGCCGAGATAGTGAAGCCGCTGCGCCACTCACAAATCGAATGTTGACATGTGACGACGGGGCTGTGTCATGACCTCATTTTAATCAGAAAAGGCTGTCATTATCTTACCAAGGATTCAATCTATATTTGTCTATATCTCGGTTACCTTAACTTACCGAACAGGGTATAAAGTATGCCGAAGACAAGACCTAGTCCGCATACGAGGGACGTCGGCAGCTCGTATTCGAAGCTTAGATCACTGCATCGGTCGATGGTCCTGCCATCTGATGGCAGCTCTGTGCAGTTAAGGCTGCCCATGTCGCCGGCTGGCGCTGGCGTCAATCCGACGTTGAACCGCGCGGGCGTACACATTGCTGACCCTGGGAAACAGAGACCTGTAATAATGCGCCGATGCACGTCTTCGATTGGACCATTATGGAGATGGCATCCTGCCGATCAAGCATGGACCGCTAGAAGAGGTGTCTATCACTATAATCATGAAACACAAAAATGAGAGGACAAAACATAGGCAAAAGGCAGGACTGCCTTTAGTCTATTCTCGTTTTGTTTTAAGACTAGGACTTTTAATTTCAGGACTTCCAAAAATTGGTTGGGCACAGGAGGCAGTCATTGAAGTGTAACTGGCACAAGGGCCACAGCCATTGCCCGAGGTTCACAGCAGTTACATTTTCACAACTTAGCGTGAGAACCAATGATGAGAAAATCACGAGCGAATGAACCGTGACCGCAGGGTGCACGGCCGCGTCTAAAAGCCGTCACAAAAGGTAAAGGGAAAACCTCTTCCTGACGACGCTTTTTACACACATACGTTGCCATGGCCTCCCCGCTCCATTCCCGCTCTATTTTTCTGGTCCCTATGCCTGTGCATGAACGTTTTGACTTGACTGAAGTAATGCAGCATAAAGTGAACCAATCCCGGCATTATCTTGCTTCTCGCTCGAGAGCCTTGGACCGCGATTTGCCACTAAAGCCACTGGCCATGCGTGCAAAACTGTTCAGACTCAAACAAAATAATTATACGTGTTACTGTATTTGCACTTTTCCCTCACCAGGCGTGACTGCGACTAATTCAAAACGATGTTCGTTGCAAGCTCGGTGCAAATGCCTGTCCTGGAGCTGAAGAATGACCTTGTGGACCCACGACTAGGGTTGAAAGGAGGCTGTCTAACAGAGAGCGGCAGCGACGCAGACTGGCGCGAGCGACCTGTCTCGGCCAGCCCACTGGAGTCATCGCTGGTTGGGAAATGGCCTCTTCCAGCTAAAGAGGTGTGGCGAGACGCAGGTACTGCGTCACCTCGAGCCAAAACGCAGTGTTTGCATGGTGTTAACGACTTTCACTCCCGTGAATCGGACTTTCAAGTCATGCTTCAGATGTGCTGTAGCCCGCTCTTATCAAGCACATGCTGGGGTTTTCCAAGGTTGCATCGTAATGATAACATGGAAGGGCGTGCGGATCTCAGACGTGCAGCCAAATCGTGTTCAGAAAAGATATCTGGAGAGCAAGTTCAAGGTCTCCGGCAGAACGCGGCTGTAAGCACCGCGGCGCAATCTGCGTGGACAAGTTTCATTAAAAGGTCTGTAAGCAAAAGTTAGATGGATAACGTATCTCGCCGTGCCGTCAAATGTGATGCAGTCTCTAACGACAACTTTTCGCGGAATTGAAAAGTACGCTGACAACCAAGGACATCGCTGACTGCGGCAACTCTTGCAACCCGCCGAGGCCACTGCAGAGGCCTCGTATCTAATGAGTTGAAGGAAGATAGTCTTATGCCTATGGAGAGAAGATAGTCCCGAGAAAAGGTTGGTTTTGCAGAAACCCCATACCGGTCTGCCGTTTGCGGTTTTATGTTTGTTAAATTCAAACGTGTAACACGCGCCCGGGTAGGGGTCAATTTGCCGCCCCCCCCCCCCCAAGGCTTTTTACAGAATGCGTTGTGAGCGGTGCAGCGTAGCCATACCAAGCTTACTAGCTGCGGGCACCCATACCAAGCTTACTAGCTGCGGGCACTTGAAAAGCAGATATTTTGATATACAAAAACCAGACGTACCTTGCAAGGCCGCTGACCTATGGCAGGTCAAAGTCAGGCCGTGACTGTCAGCGAAGGCAATTTCTAGCGAATCGTTCGATCTGATGCGACAGCAGGGTCCTAGAAGAAGTCATGCATCTCTGAGAGCGTTCCTTACGCAATTTAACGAGCGAATTTCGGATTACAAAACCCCATTGACCAGGGTAAGGTATGAAGACCTGACCGAGGTCTAAACCGACCAGCGTTTTTACTCAAGAGTTCGCTGTGTGGGACAGTTTACAGAGTTAATTTCGAATTAATTAATGATAAGGGCCGCGACAGGTATTTTTTATGGACTTCTTAAAGGTCAGAGTAGGCCACTGACCTAAAAAGACTAAGCCAGCATTTTATTTTCAGGAACCAAATGTCACTCTTATACTGACTCTGAAGTGTTTGGTGGGGGTGGAACCTCGACGTCACAGTGGGTGTCTTAAAGCTTCATTCCTGACTTCAAGACGTGGGGTAATCGGGTCAAGCAGCATCGCTTTGCCCATGCCGCCACGTCAGTTTAACGTACTCACGTCAAGCTCTTGGCGCAGAGGTGACGAAAATGATGTTGATATATGATACATGCTATGAGATGTTTGTCATTTCCGTTGGCGAATACATACTATTGTGCGACTCATTGCATGAAGTATAACATTAAGCGAGACTTGGCAAATGCAAACAATGAGTACACCTCATTCAGGGTAGGCTGATATCATTGTTTATTTTAGCGGAGCGTCCAACCCTTTTCGTACTGTTCACTCACTGCTAAATCAGACGATAACTTTTTTATCAGTAAGAACAGTTTTCTCAAAATCCTTCTGAACAGCTCAAAATTTTAATTTGAAGCAGCCACTACTGCTGAAGAAATCCCATTGGATTCCCTGCTAACCATTATCAAAGTAATACATTTTATTTGCCTTGATTTTCCAACGCGTGTGTCTTGTAATGTTTCCAACGCAATTATTCGTCAAAATGTTTTTGTAATTAATGCTACGAAAGCTCGAAATTCTCTTTAGACAAAAAGATATGCGAAGATGAAGCTATTATCCGACGAATTCAATAGAATGTTGTACTATGACTTTGATTTCTTCCCTCTGGCGTTTACCACAGTGACTCTTTTCGTGGTGCGCTTTAGCTTTGAGAATAGGAGTATCACAGGGCTCAAAGCAAGAAACTGGTACCAGTACTTCAACCAGTACGCATCTTGGTAACAGGCCTTCGCCGCCCGCTTGGCCAATCACAAACGTCCTTTTATTCGCACCAACAGAGGTGCCCGTGTCGTGATGGGGTCGCAACTGCCGGGAAGAAACATAATGCTATTACAAGGCGTTGACAGCATAATTGGGACTCGAAAACAATCAAAATTGACATCATTATCAAGTATTGACGGTGTTGAGATGGCACTACCCAGTGCTTTTATTAGACCCGACCAGTCCTGAGGTTTCATCAGGGTACATTTTTAAAATATCCCAAAGTTGGGACACCACCTTTAATCGCCCAATGACTTAATTTCAGTGCAGCAGAAAGAAATGACTTTTTTTGTAGGTCTTACGTTATTTACGAATAACTGACGGACACCATAAGCGGCCAATAGCTTGAGTGTTATGCTAATGCTCCTTCAACCAGACAATCTACGGATATGAGGCAGCGCGAGCCTTGTCTGGTGCATTCTAAAAGTTTCCGTGTCTCTATGAATTAGACAAGCACGCTGAAATTGTATCCATAACCGCTGCATACAATTTTATAATGTTATATGCCATCAAGAGTATAATAAAACAAAAAATAACCGTTCAGCTATGCTTTAATTAGCATTACATGAATGGATATCATGGATCCAGTCATCCTTTCTGTCAAAAGAAATATACGCGTATCGTGCTGTACGTGGTCCATATTTCCGAGCGTCTAACTCCGATAGCCAATAATTTTACCTTCGTAAATCATTTGGGGGCTCAGCCAAAAGGGTTTACCTCACCCGCAAAACCTGATTTCCCCCGAATTTCGGCCAGTGGAATTTGCTTTCTTGATAAAATTGAACTTAAAATGTTTTGTATATTCAAGATCGTTTTCCTGCAGAGGAATCATTTTCCATTTCAACTAAATCAAAGCTGTCTTTTGTGAAAAGGTTACAATGGGATAAAATTCAGAGACAAATATTTTAGTCAAGCTCAGTAATGGATTACTGATAACTACTGCACCGCTGGTTGTGTTATATAACCACCGGAGCCACGATCATGCGCCAAATTCATTTACCACTGTCTGGTGAAAACATGCGGTAACTTTCACCAGGGCCGCTCTGTTCTTTTAAAAACTGCCACATGTTGCGGTTACTTGTTCTTTATCCCAGGCCAGGCGCCATCACTAAAAAAGCTTGTCAAAAATTTGGAGACTGGCTTAACGTACGAAGGACTTTGCATGCCAAAAACATTGGGTATTAATAAAATACTATTTCGCACAGAGCATACATGATAGTTCTAGTGATGTGTTTAGATGCTCACTACCTAGTATACCTGTTCTGAATTTATGTGACCCAGTATTCCGTCATTACAACTAGCCACTGGGGGGGGGGGGGGTTCAGAAGAACATCGCGAGGGGGGCTCAATTCAGCATTGGGGGAGAGGTGGGGGCTTAGGCCCCCAAAATATATAAAGTGACGCACCTTCAGGCAGTTATAGAAACCAGTCAAATAAAATATTACTTAAGGTAAAGTAATCAACATCGGCAACAACAAACATTGGCATTTCCTTATCGCAGGATATCAACTGAGCATACCTCAACTGAAGGAGTTCGGCATTCTTACCACCGTCATGTAATGCCAGGTCACAAAATAAGAAGTGGCGAGGTCACTAACTCAAAGCTTCAAAACATTGGGAGTGATTTATTCACCCAATGCAGGTTCAGCAGTGCATAAATTCCAAATATTGCGACAATTCTCGCTCAAAATATGGACAAAGAAAGCCATGTGGTGTGTCCTGTGCAAAATGCTGAGGTTACTGCTCAGTCCGAGTCGCACTGGTACGAGTAGTCCCGCGAACCATCTTCATGAATGTGTTAGTTGTTGATGGATTCGTCATGGTCATTCCCCCCCTGAAAAGACGAAACGCGTTTTATGCCGTAAAGTGCATGCATATGAGCTGAAAATCACTCTATAGCAACAAAATAATTACCACGATTTAAGCTATCGCCATGAGCAAGGCGTTAGGGCATGACATATGGTACACAATTGCAATAAAACAGCCCATAGGCTGTTCGGTCAAGAAAGCGACTGCAGAATACGGGTGGGTGTGAAAGAATGCTTTCATGCTGTCATCATACCGTGCAAAACATTATTTGAGAGCCAATGGACGGTCGTTATATCTGGAAATCGCGCTCACAAACGCAAGATATGAACGACTCGACAGTTGCATTTTTTGGCATTGGTTGCTGCGTGGTCAACGGAATGGCAGGATTTGAATGACAGTACTATGATATCATGGATGCCTGGGTGACTTTGAAATCGTCTACATGTCATCGCGGGCGTGTAGCTCAGAAATTAGAAGGGTTTGGGTCTTAAGGAGGACAGGGCTGTTAACTGCACGAAATGATCATCAAGATGGCTAGTTCAGTTCAAAGCTCCATACAAATATAGAACACTCGCTTTTAAACGCCCACTGCTGTAAACAGCACCGTATCCTTGAACCAGCATCCCTCGCTTGGCCGCACAGAAACCAAGACAAGGCCAGCTGTTTCGAGGGAAACACAAAGTTTTGTAGCGGCAAACGAATGGTCACAGACAATGACGTCAGGGACGGTTCGGTGAGCACGCGCCGTCGGTGTTTGGGAGAGAGCGTGCGGTCCAAGTACACAGCGGGGTTCTGGAAGGCGCCGCGACAGGGCCCGGGACGGCCCCCGACCGTGCTGTAACGGCGCTCGTCTGCGGACCCGGCACACCGGTGCCAAGCAGCGGTGACGGTTACGGCCGCTCACCGACTGCACGTGACGGTTACGGCCGCTCATCAGTTGCACGTGATATCTGTCGCTAGGGGAGGCGGTGCAAAGATGACACGGTTTGCCTTCTGCATATTGCAGCTGACGCAAACGCGCTTCATCACTCTGGTAACTAGGCGGAAGAACGTGAGCAAATGAAGCGCTTGTTATGGAAATATATTGTGGAGAGTTGAAGTAGCACAACCCTGTGGTTACACTGCAAACCGGGATGGATTATTCAGTCCAAGTGACAACACACTCGCTTTCGCTGCCCTGCAACGTGACCGGCCAGTGGTCGACAGCGCATTCAGTACCGAGCGGCTTTGCTGGTCACACTTTCAAGGGGTAACGCGGGCTTTTTTCGAGAATAAGGAGACCCAGATTCTGAAATGTAATGCAGGTTAAAACAAAACGTCTGAAATCATGCACGCAAGATCTTCTAATCCCTTTTTTCCTAGGTGCGACTCAATGCTATGCACCAAGTTGAGAGTCATTGCTAATAGTAGATTGTAGGAGTATACGACGCAATCTGATCACATCCATAAACAAAACCGGTCCGACCCACCAGCGCGTGGTCAAATTCATGACGCTGATGGCCTGTTTACACGTGGCTTCTACCCCCGCGTCAAACGCGCACACCTAGCCCCAGGATGTAAATCCGCATCGGAAGCGCGTCCAACGTCTGCTGCCGGCGCGCGTATGTGACGTCACACCTGGCTGATTGCGTCATACATCTTGATGGCAACCGCAGCGTCACTCGGAAAGGCTTCCTTCTCCCGCCTGATCCAGCCCGGTCATGGTGGGCACTGCTCCTTGGTGCAGTTTCAGGTGAGCTATTCACATGCCTCGAAACCTAATAAGTAAGTGTTTGATCATATCTGTTGACGATTAGAGCTGCTCTACCAATTGCAGCTCTCTTGTATGCCTACATAGTGGTTCGAGCCGATATTCTGGCTTTAAGTATCACCTCAGACGCGAAGAACGGGCGGTCTTGGCTCTCAAACTGAGTATACTCCGGTGCGTATTACACTTGTCTATCCCCTTTACCAGCACATTTTACAGTATTACAATACACCCGAAATTTCAAGCAATCCGCTATCGACGCGTGATCGGGCTATATATGAAGGCTGCTCCTATGTTCAATACTTTTAAGACGTCACGCTTTTCTCATGGCCTCACCGATTTTGATTCGCGTCCGACGCACATCTGATGGGCGAAAAAGAACTGTGTAAACAGATCACTAAACACACCGCTTCGGCACACTCAGCTTTCCGCAGTGAACTTGGATCGGCATCCCTCACCGTCACCATATTAGCAGTCGGTTGGCTCGGCAAAATTTCAAGGTCGGCAGGTCATTATTGCAAGTCATCACGGCCAAGAACGCAGTTTCAGAGATCGTCAAAAGGGGCTCACTTGGCTGTGGGAGCGGCATCTTGGCACAAAGCCTCCGAAGCGACTGCCATGCCACTGCAGTGATGGTAACCGCACGTAATCCGGGTAGGCGTCGGACGTCGGTGTAATGCCTCTGTTGCGCATGGCACGGAGGCGAGCGCATGACAGGGACCAGCCAACGAAACAAGGCATGGCAGAGCACGGTCCCGCCAGTGGCACCGAGTGCGCTGGCAGGCTTCAGACAATGGAAGCACGCCGGCCGGCCACAGCACACTAACCGGTTGCCGGCACGCGGAGGAGCTGCACAGAGCGTCTGCTGATGGGTGGAGCTGGGCGCGGCGTCGGAGGACGCGCGCACGTGGCCGGCAGCGGCCGTGCCCCCAGCCGCCGCCGGCCGCCGTCGCAGCCGGGTCGATACTGGCGCGGTCGGCGGCCGGCCGGCTGGCGGACCCAGCCACGGTGTGAGGGCGCCGGCCGGCCGTGCTGCCGCCAGTCCCTGCCCCCGGCGGCGGCCCGCTCGGCCAGAGGGGTGTGGCGCAACCCGGCTGTGGCCATGAACCCGCCCGGACTGCCGAGTGACGGTGCCCGACCGAAACGGTTTGGGGAATACTCGGCTGAATAGGATGGACGTAAATTACGTGACGGGCGGGGGAGGGTGTCATGAATAGCCACTGCGGCCTGTTATAGGAGGGAGGGAGTAGCTCATCTGCCGGCTCGTCAAGTCATGCCATGTCTGCAACAAAACACTTCCTATTTTGTTCTTGTCCGTAACATCATGAGCCCCATCATTCTGTTAACATCGTTTTCAAACTACAGGCACGCTGTGAAACGAGATAATTATAATCTTTCGAAAAATGGCTGTCTTGATGAGCTCTGCAAACTTCACTCAACATGTCACCACTAACGGCGCTGGCTTCGTTGCACATGTCCGAGATGTTCGGGCTATAGCTGGAAAGAGACCAGGCGGAATCGGTAAAATTGTGTATGCAAGGAAAATGTCCAATTTCCGTGCCATCCACTCGCTCTGTTTCACGGACCTCTGTCACGAATGCATTCACGTTGAAGCGCTCCAATATATTGAGTTATGGAGTTATGTGGGTGAGAACTGAAATTCATCACCGGGAAAGATTACACCGATCCATTGGGGACGATTTTGTGTCGTGGCTGAGGGTATAACATGGATGACTGGTACTCCACTGGCCCTGCAGGCTTGTTGGCCAGCTGGCAACCGGCCAGAGGAGGAAGTCCGGCACAGGCCTGCAGCGAATAAACACCGCATGAGTTCAGATGATCCCTCTGCGATTATCCCTGCCAGAAAGGGCTCGGCCAAGCTGCAGAAAGGCCGCGACCAAGCTGCAGAACTGTCCTGCGGTCTCCATCAAAACAAAAACAACGAAGATTTGTGAGATCTCATGGAGACGAAAGAAGTAGGGCACGGAACCGGAGCACCGAAAATTAGCTGACGGCTGCCTGTCAATAGAGCCAAGCGTGGCCATGTGAAGAGTATGCCACATGATCTGATTGACCTTGTTAGCCCCATAGGTGGTTCCAATTCCTTGCATCTGCTGCACTTTTGTCAATGTCTGATGTGAGCACGTTAAATTTGAATCGGTTAGCCTTTATAATCATACCACTGTAATCCAATACGTCACATGCATTGCATGCATAATGCATTATAATGAGTTGTACATTGTTCAGCGTCCGCGTACTTTTTAGGTACCTTCAGGGGCTTGCGCACTCGTATTGCCAAGCGATGGAGCCAAAATGGCCAGTGTGCTCGTGCTGTCAAGCGATGGAGCCGAAATGGCCAGCGTGCTCGCGCTGTCAAGCGATGGAGCCGAAATGGCCAGCGTGCTCGCGCTGTCAAGCGATGGAGCCGAAAAGGCCTGCACGTGCAACTGCCGAGCGATTAAGTCGGGAAGGCCTGCGTTTGGCAACGCGTGCTCGCCTTACCGAACGACGAGGCCGAAAGGGACTGCGTGCTTACGTTACCAAACGATGGAACCGAAAGCATAAACATGCGTGCCATCAGCTGTCGTGCTTTTTGTTAAGTTTATAGCTGCGCTTTTTGTAGACCTGTTTCGCATCATTTGTGCGCTTTCCAGCGTAATCCGGAACTGAATCACCAAAAGACCTGACCGAAACTGAAGTACACTGCAGTGATGTGTTCAAGGACAAGCACATATGAGTGTGAAATGGCTGGTGAGGGGGGACGGGGATGTGGAAAACTCAGTCTGCAAGCAAGTTGTACTGCGCAGTAACATGGGATGGACATCTACAACTTTTACAAAAATAAAGCATTGACCGCTCATCCCATCCTTTCCTTGTTCATAAGTTTACCATACTTTACGATTGTCATTGCAGAAACCTGCAAAGCCTTAAGAACTCCCATTCTTGGTTTCAAAGCAACCACAAGTTGATGGTGATGGCGTTAACTAGGACACGATGAACATTCAATAGAATAGGTAGATTCTGTGGCGTATCGTCTCACAGTAAAGTGAACAAGGCTTAAAACCGGAACAAAATGGATCACCAGTAATAAATCATCTAGAGCATGCTGTTACAATTAACCTTCAATTTTTTGTACGTTTCAGCAGCGCACAGATTCCTGGTATTTTCTTCAAAAGTCTAATGCAGTCCTGGACTGTGGCGCATTCCAGGCATCACAATGGCAGTCGGCATTCACTTGGCCAGCTCAGACCATGACCCTGATTTACCCCAAAGGTCTTAAGTACGTTCATGTAGCGTAGTATTGTAACATTAGATGAGCGTGGTTCTCGGTGTTAGCGCCTGCTACTCTTTCTGGTCCTGGTCACCACCTGGCACTGAATAGTTTCACTTTAATCCCACTTTTGAGTTGTGCTTGTGTGCGTAATTATCTTCTGGTACAAATCTGGCAAAAACTGACGTGTCGGTGCGGTAGATTTTCCTATTTTGCCAGCAGGGAGTGCCGCGGCTTTGCAGCTTTCTGCTTCTAATTTGAGTGTTTATGCGCAGTGCTGTGCGCCGCGGTAGACAGGGCGGACACTCCTGACCACCTGTTTATGAGCGATAGGTAAGACAAGATCAGAAGCGGTTGAAAAGTCGCCTCAATCTCCAACGCCAGCTTGGCCCAAAACCTGACTCTGCAGCGCCAGGCTTTCCAGTCTTGGCCGCTGTTACGTACCAACATCGCTGCAACGTCGCTACACTGCCGAACCGCGCAGCTATTCTAAAGCACATTCGGTAAAAATATTGTGTGGCACTACATTCCTTGCAGTGTTGTGTGGCGCCGCATTCGAAACTTGTGCTGCGACGAGGCTCCATTAGAAATACCAAACATCGCCACTAGCCTCAGTTTGATTAGCCCCTAACGTTGGCCAGACATTACTCACTCAATATGTGCAGTTTATCTTTCATTCATCCATACAAAAGATTTGGGTGGTGCATTAGCTCGTTAATATTCCTCTCTTTCTCCCAAGGAAAAAATGAATGAACAAAAAGTCAGCATATTTCTGCTGCCCGCCGGGCAAAGCGCGACGCCTACATCTGGTCGCTTTACGTCAGGAATGTGGTAGCCGCGACCGGAAAATTAATCGGTGGCATTTTAACGTAACAAAAAGATGACATTCTGACCGTTGAGTTTTGCTTGATTTGCAAATGGAATAGGGAAACCAATGTCAAACGTAATGGCGCAAAAAAGATAGCATTGGGCAGCGTACAGTGTGATGTAGATTTCGTAGCGATCGACGGCTTTGATGACAGCTTGCTGCATTCGGCGACTTTTGTTGACATGCAAACCTGCCCGGCTAACCCGACAATGTCTAGCGCAGTGGCGCCTCAGTCAAACCTGTCCGGCTAACCCGACAATGTCTAGCGCAGTGGTGCCTCAATCAAACCTGCCCGGCTAACCCGACAATGTCTAGCGCAGTGGCGCCTCAGTCAAACCTGTCCGGCTGACCCGACAATGTCTAGCGCAGTGGCGCCTCAATCAAACGCATGCTGATCACGTGAATGTGTGAACGTAAGCTGATAGAAGCTTTGAAGTTTAATGCGCACTTTTAGCGGTCCCGGTTACCGAGATGAGACAGAAAACGCAAAAACCGTGAAAGGCAAAATATATCTAGAACACTCATGTGTGTATGGCATATCTAGCGCCACGTACTCATTTCTTGTTCAGCTTTCTACCGAAACTTGCGTATGTGTTGTCGCTCTACCCTGCAGCTGCGTGAGATTTAGCCACGATTTCGAACGACCGCTCTCCCGTTTTGCGACGGTCACTTTTCACGCCGCCGTACAAAACCGACCAGCAAAAAGCAGACTGCACCACGTGCCACATGCTGCCCACTGACCGCAGCCCCACGAAACTTGCCATCGAACATTGCCTCGCGCGCACCTCGCCTATCGATTCCAGTCGACGAGGCAAACACATTTGAAAGCGTTTATGTTTTATGTTTTCTGTGACGAAAGTACGTGGAAAAACGTTACTCTTTTCCGTGGATATTTGTGACAAATATCCACGGTATATCCACGACATAAAATGCTATATCAGAGGTAGTCTAAGCTAGCTATAAGCAATATGTATTCCAAGGTATGCTATAAGCCATAGAGCACCGCACCTAAGGTCAGTTTCGGAACACGTAACATTGATGCCTCCCCGATCCATCGTACTGGCACGCCTATTGGTTCATTAACGCTACGCTTCCCTAGGCGTTAGAGTTTGTTTCTTGTCTCTGCCTGCTCTGGTTGCCGAGATCAGATCTATTAGAGCATTAACCCTTAAAAATGCTCGGAACTGGTTGATCAATGGTATGCTCACGGTTGCATGTGAGAACGTAAATATATCCACCAGTACTTTTGCCGGAATACTTTTTCACCTCCGTCAGTGCTATTTGTGTCATCTCGCTGCGACAGCTGCTCGCCAGGGTCTGGAAATGTCTCCCACTCAAAGTCTGATACGGAACCTTTTCGGAAGATCGCAGTTTTTACGATTGTTAAATTTATACGTTTCTCGCGCCAAATAAATGCAGAGGTGAATTGTGGTTGCACTGCAACGTTGTGGAAATATGCTGTCTGATCAGACAGTCTCTATCTTAGTCTTTGGAGAACTGCACAACGCACTATTCTACCACTGCGCGTTGTGATCAGTGGTCGCAAGGTTATAACTGACCTCGTCCAAAGCATCACTGGCCTGATCTATCCGCGCTTGACCGGGCCGTTGACGGACGTTTTTTCTTTACAACGAACCAATGGCAGGGCGCAGGTACCTCCATATATCATTATATATATATATATATATATATATATATATATATATATATATATATGTGTGTGTGTGTGTGTGTGTGTGTGTG